CTACAAGACTGTGGAATGATCTCCCTCTTCCCATCAGACGAGCTCCTTCACTGTCCAGTTTTAAAACTCTTTTAAAAACACATTTTTACTCCCTGGCTTTTAGCACACACTGAATTTACTCTGCACTGTTTTTATTACTTTTATTGATCTTAATGTTTTAACAACTGTTTTTATGTGTTTAAATGTTCTTGATTTTATATGTACAGCACTTTGTGGCAGCTGTGGTTGTTTTAAAGGGCTTTATAAATAAAGTATTATTATTATAAAGTATTAAACATCTAAACAGGCAACCTCAAGCACTTATTCTGATTTTATTTGGATCTTTTTATCTCTATGGTGACATGTGCTGGTCAACTTTAGCTACTCACACACAACTTTGGGTACATTAAGGTTTGTGACTTGGAATGTCAATGGAACCAGTACTCAACAAAAAAGATTAGGAATTTTTAACCAGCTTAAAAGACTACAGGCAGATGTTGTCTTTTTATAAGAGACTCATAAATCTACTACAACTGCAGATGATCTTAAATCCATTGGGTTTCCTAATGTGTTTTGTGCCTGCTATAATTCAAGACAAAGGAGAGTGGCAATATTAATACACAAAAATGTTAATTTTACAGTACTAGACACAGTTGCAGACCCAGAAGGTAGATATTTAATAATAAAACTTTGTATAAATAACTACAAGCTGTGTAATGTCAGCATATATGCCCCAAATGTTGATGACACCTCTATTTTTCATGATTTTTTCTCAGCACTGTCTGATCACTTGGATTGCTCACTTATACTTGGAGGTGACCTCAACTTTGTTCTAAATGAAGAACTAGACAGATGTAGTAGAGCAGGAACTCAGTGCAGTTGGTAGTCCATAAATATAGTTCAACTGTACATGAGTGATTACGGACTTTGCGATGCATGGTGATCTCTTCACCTGAAACGTAGGGAGTATACTTTCTTATCACCAGTCCATCACTCTTACTCTCGTCTGGATTATTTTTTAGTCAGCAGCTCGTTGTTGATGGACATCTCAGACACTGAGATACACCCTATAGCAGTCAGTGATCATGCTCCTGTCTCTTAAACTCTAGCAAACATAAAAGAAACCCCAAAAAGTATAAACTGGAGATTTAATATATGATTGCCTGAGGATAAAGATTTTATAAAATATTTTACAGAAGAGTGGGCTTCTTATCTGGAGTATAATGACTTGCCTGGAACATCAGCATCTGTTCTCTGGGAGGCAGGGAAAGCAGTGATGAGAGGTAAAATAATCTCATTCTCATCACATAAAACAAAAAAAGAAAATAAACATATTTAGAAATTAGGAGAAACCATTAAATTGTTAGAAGCCTCCCAAGATGAAGAAATGCTGGACAAAATGCATAAGTCAAGTCAAGTCAACTTTATTTATAGAGCACATTTAAAACAGAACCTGTTATCAAAGTGCTTAACAACAACAATGGCAACAACAATCAATGAGAGTAAAATTAAGGAGAAAAAATATAGTACACTAATAATAATAACTGAAGAATTAATAAAAAAACATTTAAAACATAGGGTCACAGATAAATAAATAAAAAACACTAGATCAATTTGCACTGTGTGAAATGCCTGCGAGAACAGATGAGTTTTCAGTAGGGATTTGAACTGAGGAAGGGAGGTGGCCTGCCTGATGTTGGGGGGCAGGTTGTTCCAGAATTTGGGGCCCATGACAGAAAAAGCCCGATCTCCTCTGAGCTTCAGTCTTGTTTTTGGAGCAGCCAAAAGCAGCTGATCGGATGATCTCAGGGCCCGAGAGGGAACGTAAGGTTCCAGTAGCTCGGAGAGGTAAAGGGGTGCGAGGCCAAAAAAGCAAAATTAGAATTAAATGAACTTATTAACAAAAAAACTCAATTCTTAATACAAAGACTTTGAATAGAAAACTTTGAAAAGAACAATAAATCAGGTAGCTTTCTAGCAAAACAGCTCAAAATAAATAAGGAAAAAAACAACTATACTTGGTGTTAAAGACTTGACTGGGAATACAGTTTATGATCCTGAAAGAATAAACAGTATTTTCAGAGATTTTTATAAAGCTTTATACTCACCCCAGATAAACCCATCAGATAATGAAATTGATCATTTCCTGGATAAAATAACACTTTCTAAATGATCAGATAGTCAATCAATGGAGCTGTACTCACCACTGACACCAGTGGAACTCCAGGAAGCCCTCAAAAGCATGCCCAATAAAAAGGCTTCAGGTCCAGATGGATTTCCAGCAGAGTTCTACAAAGAATTCTGGAATATCCTGGCACCACTATTTCACAGAATGCTTCAGGAAACTGAGAAAAATAGCAGACTTCCAGAAAATATAAACTCAGCCAACATTAGTCTCCTGTTAAAATCAGGCAAAGACCCTTACCTACCACTTATCGTCCCATATCCCTTATCAATGTTGATCTTAAAATAATTTATAAAGCCCTCTCAAAAAGATTGGAAAAGGTCACTCCTTCCATAACCTGACCAAACTGGTTTTTATAAAAGGGAGGCATTCATCTACAAATGCACGCAGATTATTTAATTTAATAGATTATTCTTACAGTAAAAACATTGAAACTGCAATATTATCTCTAGATGCAGAAAAAAGCTTTTGATAGAGTTAACTGGAAATTTTTATTTGCAACCTTGCATAATTTTGGTTTTGGAAATTATTTCATAAACTAGTTAAAAATATTATACAGTTCCCCATCATCATGCATTAGTACAAATAAGTACATATCTTCTAGCTTTCTTCTGCAAAGGTGTACCAGGCAGGGATGTCCACTCTCCCCTCAATGTTTGCTATTTTCATCAAACCGCTAGCTGCAGCAATCAGGCAAACTACAGATGTTAAACGCATAAAATGCAATAACATAGAGCACAAAATCAGTCTATATGCTGATGATGTGTTGCTATTCCTCCAGCATTCACAAACCTCCCTCTCTCAGGTTATTGGATTGATAAACTCGTTTTCAAGAGTTCCAGATTACTCTATAAACTGGATAAAATCCACAGTTCTACCAATTAATTGCTATTTCAACCATTCACTTACTACACAACTGCAGTCAGGGAATATTACATACTTGGGTATCAAAGTCTCTCCTAGATTGGCAGATTTAACAAAACTAAACCACATCCCACTTTTAAAGAAAATTGAGGATGATCTTGCTAGATGGAAATCTCTACCCTTGTCTCTCATGGGAAGGATTGCTTCAATAAAAATGATGGTTTTGCCTAGAATAAACTATCTATTCTCAATGATCCCAAATAAACCATCATCTGACTGGTTTAGATCCCTGGACTCCTCCAGCTCTAAATTTCTCTGGAAAGATAAACCCCCACATATTAAACTAAAAACACTACAGAAGACCAAAGATAAAGGAGGACTAGAGCTACCCAATTTCTATTATTACTTTCTAGCCAACAGGCTAGAATACATCTCAAGATGGATAAAACACACACCCCTTGATGAACCCTGGCTAGACGTAGAACAGACATTTTGCAATAATATAATGATTTTAGACCTTCCATTCATTAGCTCAAACATAAAACGACAGGACTGCTTTAAAAGCATCAATATCAGCTCCTCTCTGACAGCTTGGTGGGAGTTTCTTAAAATGACAGAGTCTTCACTAATTCCATGCAGATATACACCCATCTGGAACAACCCTGACACCCTACAACAGAATAATATGATAAACTTGCCAGGTTGGAGGTGTAAAGGAATCAAATTTTTCCAAATATTCGGAACATATATATGTGGAAGTTGTTGTGAAATAAGATTGTGTTCCTTGTTGAATCTGTCTCCCACTTCTTGTTTTACTTTGAAATTGACCCACTTCCTGTTTTACTTTGAAGAGGCTCCCACAGATTGATTTCTGTTCCTGTTTACATCATGTAACACGATGTCACACTTCTGATTGGTTTGAAACTGGCCAATCCCATGACAGCAGGCTTAGAGCACGGTGAAAAGTTTGTTTTGCTGTGTGAAGGAACGCCCTGTTTTTAGACAAAGGAAAGTGCGTTTTTCTCCTCGAAGCAGCCAGCCAGGATGAAGCAGAGAGACGGTCGACTTCAGATTCCTCCATAACAAGGTTGTATCGTATAGATTAAATGGATGCGCATCCAATTAATTATATGTTAAAATAATGACTGCATTTAACTAATCCACTGTTTATGCTTGTGAATCTGTGACTTTCTGACTTTCTTTGCTTATTAAATATTCGTAAACTTGAAGGTGCGTTTGTCGTATTCTGAGTGCGTGTCTTGACTCCTCCTGCAGGATGAACGGTGACAGCAGAGCTCGGGTGGAGAAATAAAAGAAAAAACACAACAAAGTAGACTATATCCAAATTTAACAGATTAATAACACAATATGGGATTGATAAGAACAAATTTTAGAATATCAACAAATTAAATCTATAACAAAAACAAGTTTAACCTTAATAACACTAGGATTGAAATACCAACAAGTGTATTAGAATTCCTTAATCTTAACCTTCCAAATTTACTATCTAAGGTTTACCGGACACTCATTAAAATAGATGAATCAATATACCTTCTCACTGTAAAATGGGAGACAGACTTGTCAGTCATGATGTCACCTTGGAGACAAAGTCAATTCACATGATTTTTACTGCTTTATGCATAGCAAAAAAAAACTATACTCATGAACTGGAAAAAAAAAACTCAGTCTTAAACAGTATAAAGACCTTTTGCTGGATTACATCAGTCGAGACAGCCTGTACCTCCACATCAGACCATTCTGTCTGGGCTTCTTTGATTGGCTCCAACACATAGTGGAGGTGGGTGAATCCCTTTGATTTCATCCTGTGGGGCATCGTTGTTGATGTGGGGGGGTATCGGGGCTGGGGGCATGGGGGGATCGTGGGCCTGGGGCAGTGGCACTCGACTGGGGAGGTGGCTTTGGTGGTTCTGGGCGTTGACCTCTGCTGGCTGCATGCAGGCTTCTGGGTGGTCTACACCAGCAGACACAGGTTACTGGCCTGATCTGGCTGCTCCTGGGTGGGCGTGGGGTTCTGGGGGAGTGTTGCTCCCTCACTGGGGTCCCGGCTTGGCCCAGGGGTCTCGGGTCTTGGCTGGTATGTTGTTGGGATCTTGGGCCCGTGCATGCGCCGGCGCCCGGCCCTGGCCTGGATGCCCTTTGTACATTGGTGGGCTTTGGGGCCTCTACCGTGGGGGGGGGGGGGGGGGGGTAGTGTGGGGGGGGGGAGGGTGGGCCATGGGAGGGGATGGGTGGATTCAGCCTGGGTGTCTTCTTGCCTGGCTGTGACTGCGGTCTTGTGCTTGGCTGGGGGTCTGGGCTGTGGGGGGCTGTGAGTGGGGGGGTGTATTGGGGGCTCTCGCTTGGGTGGCTCTGCACAGTGTGCCTGGGGGTGTCTGGGCATGTGCCCTCCCTTGTATGGGGTACTCTCATTGTGGGTGTTGCTGTGGTGGACTGGTTGGTTCCTTTGTGGGGATGGGGGTGCGCTCTCAGTCGCCATGGTGCACAATCTGTGGCTGTTCGGGCACTCCTGGCTGATTGTCATTGTTGGAATTTGGTGGCTTCTTTGTTCGGGGGGCTGGGTGTTGAGCTGGGGATTGGGTTGTGGGGTCTGGATGGTTTCGGGGGGGTTGGGTTGCTGGTTCATGTTCTGGTCAGTCCTCGGGGCTATGTGCTGGTCCGTTGCCTGGGTCCCTGGTGGTGTGGCTGCCACCTGCTCCTGGATGGATGTATTGGAGCCTCCCTCCCCTGGTAGATGAAAGAGAATGGGGGTGCCTATTGGGGTCAGTGGGGGAACTGGCTCCCTGGGAGAGCATTGCCACCTCAGTTCTTCCTCCCCATCCCGACATCTTCCTCCGCCCACTCTATCACACCACCACTCAAACACGGCCTTGGGGTTCAGGCGCACTACTGAGCTGGGGGGAGGATCCTCCATCTCCATGGTTCGTGGAGACCTGGGCCCCAATTTTATTATACAACCTAGACACTCACTTATAACATTCTCATGACACATGCATAAATAGCGTCTGGAGTGGACACACGGTGGCATATAGGTGGTGGGATGTGTAATCATTCTCACCTCTGGGACCTGTGCCCACTCTCATATGTAGCATGTAGACATTTAGGGTTCTGGGCAAGGGTTGGGGAGGTGAACGGGCACTGCCTGCTCTCTGGGGAGGGGGTGGGTCTGTGCTTGTCGCTGCCTCACCCCCCCCCCCCCCCGTTTTAAATGCACTTAATCAACAGGACCAACTTCACCTCGGACCAGATCTGCACCCTGTTGGATCTCTGCCTCTCCACCACTTATTTCAAGTTCAATGACAGTTTTTACAGACAGAAGGGGATCTCCAGTGTCACCCATTGTTGCCAATCTCTACATGGAGGAAGTGGAACAGAGAGCCCTAAACTCCTATGAAGGAACAATGCCAAGCCATTGGTTCCGATATGCGGATGACACCTGGGTCAAAATCCAAGCTAAGGAAATAGAAGCGTTCACCAGACACATTAAGTCAGTCGATAACAACATCAAGTTCACCAGAGAGGATGCAAACAACAACAAGCTGCCTTTTTTGGACTGTTTGGTTCAGATGGAAAGTGAGGACAGCCTCAACATTGAAGTTTACAGAAAACCAACCCACACAGACCAATATCTTCTGTTTGACTCTCACCATCCACTGGAACACAAACTCTGTGTCATCAGAACTCTATAGCATTGGGCCGAACGCATCCCCACGAAGACAGAAGGGAAGGAAACATAACAGAAACACATTCAAGAAGCTCTCCAAACGTGGATATCCTAACTGGGCTTTTGGCAAGTCAGTGAGGAAATCTACAAAACACACTTAATAAACAGAAAAAGGAGAACAACAGATGGAAAAACATTGTCATCCATTGTGTTGCTGGAGTATCAGAGAAATTCAGAAGGATTTTCAACAAACACAACATCCCAGTACATTTCAAACATAGTAGGACTCTCAGACAGAGGCTGGTCCACCCTAAGGACAAAACACCCATACACAAACAGAGTGGTGTAGTGTATGCGGTCCAATGCAGTGAGGACTGTCCAGACCTCTACATTGGAGAAACTAAACAGCATCTTCACAGATGCATGGCTCAACACAGGAGATCCAGCTCTTCAGGACAAGATTCAGCTGTTCACCTCCACCTCACAGAGAAGGGACACTCTTTTGAGGACCAAAATGTGCACATTTTGGACCGAGAACACAGATGGTTTGAGAGGGGAGTGAAGGAAGCAATTTATGTTAAAAGAGAAAAGCTGTCTCTTAACAGAGGAGGAGGCCTCAGATTTCCACTTTCAAAAACTTATAATGCAACTTTAAGACTGATTCCCAGCCAGTTTTCACACCTGATGGGAACAGAGGGGTCTCATCTGTGAATTAGAGTAACAAAGACTTTAAGAAGCCCCCTACTATTAAGGTGTGACTTGTCAAATCTACATATGCGTGTGTGTGTCTTATCTCACTCAGCCTTATAACCTGAATCTCTCACTCACTGCTCACTGAATTGAGAAAGCTCCTCGGATGAGGAGCGAAACGTCTTCTGTTACAAATAAAGTCCAGTTGTTTTTGTATTTAACGCTTTTTAAACTCCTCCTAGGGATTTTGATTGATTGCCTTCAAACTTGGTTATTATGCCCTTAACACATTGGGGAGTAAAAGTTATCAAAAGCTTGCATTTTCGATTATGTAAAATGGGCATGGCCAGGCCTCAAAGTTGAGCTTCATGCCATAAATTGCCTAACGCTATACCTCTCACAATGAATGACCAAAATGCACCAAACTTGGCAAGACTCATCCCTGCTGGATGTCCCAGGATCCACTATTGTCATATTTTGATGTTATCAAAGCCCCGCCCCCTCAGAACAGGAAGTCTCTTTTTTACTTGGAATGCTCCCTTTTTGACACCATTGACCTAATCAGGATGATCTTGTGTTAGAAGGCAGATAAGATGGTCTGACTTTATTTAAAGTGCAAACCATTTTTGCTTGAGGATGTGGGCGTGGTGGCATGGTGAATCAAGAAGAGACGCCGTTGCAATACGTTTACCTCTAAAATACAGATTTCAGCCGAGGTGAACCAAAATCACTATGATTAATCATTATTCACCCCTTGAACAGGTATCCATGATAAGTGGCCAAAAGCCTCCACAGCGCCACCTACATTATTCCTACAGTTATAGCTCAGTGATACATCATCCGATCTGCACCAGATTTTTTTGTGCATGATCAGTGAGCCCTTCTAGACACATTGATATTGTTGTATAAAAGATGACTCTAGTGCGCCCCCTAGATTATTCTAACAGTTATATCTCAAGGATAAGTAGCAGTATAGAAATGTACCCGGCTAGGGAAATGTCACTTCCTGTTAGATAAGTGGGCGGGGTATAAAAGGAGGCAGCAATGCCTGTTCTGGCACTTTTGAGTCGAAACAGTGATCCCACTATGCTAGTGCTCTGGAGCAGACAAGCGTGGTGTGAAGGGCGGAGATAAGCAAGTGACTGCATAAATAAAACGTTGTTAGCATGATGCTAAATTAGACAATTGACACTTGTTTGAGGTTTGTCGAGACTTTGTTGGGAGAAAGAAAGCGGCAAGACACGGCTGAGCTGTGAATGGTTGGAAGGATGTCAGAGGGAAATGATTTATCAGGAAGTGATTTGGCAGAAATGGAAGATGGAGGAGATGGTGTTGAAAATGAAGGGATATGGCAGACCCACAAATCTAAACACAAACGGAAAAAAGCAAAACATCATGTAGAGTCGTCAGTTTCAGAAGCTGAAGATGAAATAGTGAAGGTGATATCCTGATGCATGCTCAATAAGCTGCTGAATGAACGGGTGAGACAGACCAATTTTACTATTGAGGCCTTGAAGGCCAAAGAAGAGCACATTAAACAGAAACTAACTATGGGTCTAGATCAGACCACACTTCAGCAAGTGTTGGACTGTACAGATCAGGCACGCTTAGCACAGCATGTCAAGTCCAAGACTCGACAAACTGTACAGATCAGGCACGCTTAGCACAGCATGTCGAGTCCAAGACATGACAACAAAACAAGTTTAACGTACTAATAGCTCAATAACACCAACACTATTCCAATAACAACACATTCAGTGTAGGACAACACTCCACTAGTCAATTACATGCCAGGGAGACAGAAAAGTGGGTGAAGAATTTATCTGACAGACAGCTCATCCAGCCGGAGACAGACATTCTTGCCAGGGGACTGAACTTTGCGATTGCACCAAGTAGAATTCCTCTGGTGGAGATGATCACAGCTACTGAGTCAGCCATCCGCAACAACAAAATTAAAGAGGCTGAAGCAGAACAGCTCAGAATCAAAGTTTCAGCCTGCCTCAGCAATGCCAAACCACCACCTTCCAACATCAGTAGAGAGGAGAGGGA